CCATCCCCCCCCCGCCTCCCCGTCCTGCTGACGCCGACCGCGTCGTGAACCGAGGGCAGAGTAAGAAAATCACTTCTGTGTTTCACCACCTTCTGCGCTAAGCCTAGCTTAAACAACCTTTTTTTCCTCTGGTTGACCCACTTGATAACCTGAAAAAAAAAATTAAAATAATAATATCCAAAACCAAAAAAAACCCCGACAACCACAACAACAACAATAAAAAAAAAAAAGTGGTGCTCCCATTTCCAGGACCAACGGAAGCTATTTTCTAATGGATAATAAGCTGAAAGGCCATGGCTGTCTGGAAGGTTAAACAACAAACATCTCATCCGAAAGGGCTTACGCAGCAGCTTTAGGTCCATCCGTCTCCGGAAGCGGCTTCGTCTCCTTGCCTGCAGTCTGCACACCCAGGCTCCGTAGTTTGTTTAGAAAATAGTTTGCACAAACCACAATTTTAGCAGTGTGAGCTTCTGCGTCGAAATTATCATTATGGTTTTATTAACTTTTTTTTTATTACCATTTTTTTTTTAAATTTTTTTTTTTAAATCAGGCTTGTTTCATTGAAGGCACTTGGTTTCCATGGCAATTTATAAAAGACGGTGGTTTGGTTTCTTCACTTCCTTAGAACAGATGACTCAGCTGGGGAGGGGAGAGGGGTGTCCGAGTGGCCGCAAGCAAACTCCGATAAGCCTGTGTAATATGTAAGCCCAGGGTGCACATCCTGGATAGTAATGCATGCAAAAAGGAGACAGCATACAGTTATCAAGCATAGCCATGAGAAATGAAAAAGAAATGTCTGAAGACAGCTCTGATTGAGGGTTACTCTCTAGGGGAGGTGACAGCCAAAGTAGAAAGGGCCTATAATTATTTAACTCTATGCTAAAAACCTTCTTGGAGGGAAAATGAATGCCAGCTCTTCACATACCCTGTTTACAGTGAGGTGTTTCTCTTTCTGTGGTTTTTTATTTCCTCTCTCTCTCTTTTTTTTTTCTTTTTTTTTTGGCAGGCCATTAGGTTTCCATGGTAACAAGCAAACTATTCATTTGAAACAAAACCAGCCATGACTTTGTGCTTTGACAAGGGTTTCTATAGCTCTTTTCCGAGAGTTCAACCAGATGATGCTGTATTCATCATTGACCACAAAAGCACCTGAAAGTCTCTTCCTTGCTTAGGCCAGATCTTGTTCTCACGCATGGTTCACAGCGAGTTACACTCCCGCGATGCCTTTTACGTCCGCAGTGCTTTTTAATTATTTTTATTTATTTACGCATTTAGTTAACTTTTTGAGTCAGTCAGTGGAGGAATCTTTGGTAGTTTGTTTTTAAATGTCCATTTTACAAAGACTCTTTCTTCATGCCAGTGCCAGGTGAATCTTTTGTTGCCTCTGCCAGGATAAGGTCACCTCTGATGACTTAAGACAGACATGAGGATGATAACTGGGAAAAGTCGTATATGTGCTAATGTCCCAACAGCACCTGATCGTAAATCTACAAAAACGGGGGGAAAAGGTAGAATTAGAGAGCTGCCCAGACTCTGTCAGCATTGCTACAAGCCTCAGAAGACAAAGGACTCAGCTGTCACAACCTGTCCCACACACCGACTCCATCAGGCAGGAGATGGCGGGATAAAAAAACCATCCGGCGCACGTAAGATCTGCATTGTAACGCACACATGGGGCTGGAGGGATGAAACAAGGTCCACAGGGAATCACAACGATGATATTCATTAAGTTCACGCTGTTTGGACCCCTTGAACCTTTTTTTTAATGCTGCTTTATCTGTCTGCCCACCTCCGCCCGATGCCCACCAGCCTTTCACGTGCATCGCTGCTGCACCAGCATCTTCCTATCTGAACATTTTGCCTCCAGAGCTTGCTTCCCAAGGAAAACATCTCCCTTTAAACCTCTCCAACCGAACAATATATTGTTCTCCTGGAGAAAATCCATTTCAGAAGGTGTCTGGGATTTATTAACAAGAAGCAGTTTGCTCTCCCCGACAAAAAACGACTTACTGTTGGCCGGTTGATCTGATTTCATACACTCTCCTTCCACAATTGATACATCATCGATGGCAATATCACCTTCGATGCCGGGGCCACGGATCCCTTCAAATATGAGCTGCCAGAAGAACAAACAAGAAGCAGAAGATCAGAGGCTAACAAATGGAAAAAGGTCATATGGGCTTCATGTAGTACTAAACTGCATCGACGGGCTTGGAATAATTTAGAAATGTGGTGCAGAAAAACGCAACTGAGTTTGCACGTACTGGTAAGGTGAATACAGAAGATGTGTGAGCCATGGAGGCTTTGACTCTTCAGAATGAGTTGAAAAACAGCAGAGCTGCTAGTAGTCCCCCTAGGTGCCTACCTGGTGTCTCCAGGTCAGCCTCACCACTAGGCTGGATGTAGCATAAGCACTCATTTAAGTATGACATTTCTGGAGCAAAGAGTGGGATTAAATAAGTTTTAGAAAGATTTGGGGTGTATTTTCCCAGAAAATCCTGCCACCTGAAGTGAGTGGCAAAAGCACAGCTTGAAGAATGGCATCTGTGACATGCTGCAGCACTGAGCAACTACTTACCATAGACTGCATGAAACCACACAGAAAAGAGCCAGAAAATGAGGTTTCTGGCTTCTGAAGATGGCTCAACCAGTCCATCCCATCTCCAACACTGGGCTCCCCCATCTGCACCCCAACAGCACGTCTCTGTTGTCAGGAGGAGGAGGACAGAATCTGGCCCCCTGCCACTTTCTCCTGGCCCACGAAAGCTTAGGAGAAACCTTTGAGGAGGTGGTTTAGTGTCCCTTCACCCACAATGCAAAGCTAAATTTATCACAAGGGTTGGGAAAGGACCACCTTCGCTTCCAGTTCCCTGAGGCTGAGGTCCCACAGTGATCTCCTGTGATCACCTCGATGGATTTTAACCTCCCATTATCTCCTGAGTTTGCAGCAGGAAGAGTCTCGCTCTTCTGCCCCTTGTAGTGGCTCATCATCACGTCTAGAAACATTGATCCCTTCTAGGAATGGTTTTACATTTCCCAGATGTAAACGCGATTTCCCAGATGTGATGTGTTTTATTACAGAGAGGGTCAAGGTAGAGATTTTATTCCTTTTCAAGGCTTTAACCCCTGTTAAATGGATGCCTGTGACTTCGAGGTCCTAGCAATCCCTTTCCATCCAATATTCCTAGTCTGAAACCCCAACTGCTACAGCTGGGAAAGGAAACGGTGCCTGTATGGATGTGGGTGGCTTGCTGCAAGGTCAGTGACATTACTTGCTGTGATGTTTATATCTAGCTATGGATTACTTTTGTACCAAAGAAACGTTACCCGCTCTGCCTCAAACCTGACGTGATGCTCTTCCTGCTGTACCGTTGCTTAATTAGCTGTGCAGAGGAGTGGACTCGTTTTGTGGTGCGAGAAATTTATTCACCGCAAAACTTCAAAGTCTTTCTAAAGAGAGGAAGGCATTATGCAAGGAAAACATTTCCCAAGCAGCACCATTCGCACAGTTATCTCTCCTTTCCCTTCCCTCCCCACTCCTTTGAAATAGTTTTGGTTAACTTAGATGACAAGTTTTTTAACTTTAATCTGCAACAATATATGCAGGAAATCCAATGAATTTTATAAGGGCGTGTTGTGGCACTAATGGAGACATTAACTCTTGCGTAGAGTCAATTTGGAGAAAAACTAATAACTCCATCCAGAGCAAAACATTTAAATTACACTTCACAATGATCTAACTGCATCAGGGAGATGTCTGGGGCACTTGGATGAGCTCTCTCTGTTGTCAAAACACAGACCTGAGTCTCCTCTTTCGGCAGCTTCCGCCTTTTCTTTGCTTATTAATACAGTTCAACCAGAGCTGCTCATTTGAAATGAACACCGCTCATTACAACTGAGGAGTAAACGCTCAAGGCAGCGGGAGATGACCCTGTAAATCACAGGGGTCCAGCAGTGAGTGCAGCCGCATGAGGATCACCCCAGGACAGGATCACAACGGGGCATGATGCCACCAGACGTTGCATGGCACACGCAATTCTTTGCCTTTTCATAGAGGGTCCATCCCTTCACCCTGGCCACAGACACCTCTTCTCCTTTGCTAAACTGAGCATCAAAGACATTGAGGTGCCGGAGCATGTCCAAAGAAGGACAACAAAACTATTGAAGGGTCTGGAGAACAAGTCTGATGAGGACAGGCTGAAGGATCTGCAGCCTAGAGAAGAGGAGGCTGAGGGGAGACCTTGCTCTTTACAACTACCTGACAGGAGGTTGTAGCAAGGTGGGCTTGGTCTCTTCTACCAAGTAATAGGACAAAAGAAAGTGGACTCGCATTGCACGAGGGGACGTTTAGATTTGCTATCAGGAAAAAATTTCTTCACCAGAAGCACTGCTAAGCCCTGGCACAGGGTGCCCAGGGAAGCAGGAGTCCCCATCCCCAGAGGGATTTAAAAGCTGTGGAGATGTGGTGCTACATGGGTTACTGGTGGACCTGGCAATGATGGGTTAATGATGGGAATTTATGATCTTAAAAGTATTTTCTAACCTACATGGTTCTACGGGTCTGTGGCTCTATCCCTAGCAGGCTCCTGGCCCTATGGCGGTAAGCCGGCAACCTAGGTTATGTATTTATTTACCACCTGCCTGTTGCGTCCTAAGCCAGGTGGCAAGGTCTCTTTTGGGAGCCCTGAATCAAAGTGAGAGGTGTGCATTTGGAGCAGGAGACTCCTTCAGTATTTTACTGAAGTACGACGCTGTAGGTTAATTACTATAACAAGGTTGGTATTAATGCAACAGGGAACTGTAATTGGGAAAAGAGTAAGTTTTTCCATAATTTACCCTGTTATCTGAAAACAGTGTCTCAGGTAATTATCCCTCTGACAATTTTTCAACTCTACCCGTGATGATGGGAAGCACTCAGCTCGAGAGAAAAGTGTCTGCTCCTCCTCCCCTAAAGTACAGCTTGCCCTCCTGCTCCTTGGCAGCAGGCACAGAACCAGTCAACAGAGTTTAAAATCAAATCTTTCCTGATAACAAAAAACATTGTTTCCAGACAAAAGGACTCTAGACAAATGCAACAACTGGGATTTAATTAAAACCTGCATCTGGAAATGGAGTTTCTTGGGCCTTGGAGACGGGTTGGTTGGCCACACACTCCGAACAAATGAGTGCTGATGAGTGTTGGCAAAGCTCAAAGCTCAACCCAGCCTGCAGCCAAGAGCTCCTGGTAGGAGGTGCCTGATGGTGAGAATCTCCATCAGGACCCCACAAAACCTGTTATCTGTGTGTCAGTGACTTTACCCAGCTGTTGTTAGAAATACTGCATTTAGCTGAAGAATCAAGGGGCTTAGGCAAAAGCCAATCTGCACTCTTCACAGGGCAAGAAAGCTTGGAGCAGCTGGTCCAGGTTGGGCTAGGATGAAGGTTGGAGTCGATCTTGAAGGTCTCTTCCAACCAAAACTGTTCTATGATTCTATGACTCTTGAGGTTCCTTCCAACCTGCCATTCTACAAACCTACGAAACGGAAATCAGCCCCTTTATTGCCTCCAGAGTTATAACGAGCATCTCCAGTAGATTCAGATTGTGCTGAGGTGGGTGTTGGTCTCTTCTCCCAAGCTGGTAGTAATAGGATGAGGGGAAATGGTCTCAAGTTGCACCAGGAGAGGTTTAGATTGGACACTAGTAAAAATTTCTTTACTGAAAGAAAGGTGAGACATTGGAACAGGCTGCCCAGAGCAGTGATGGAGTCACCATCCCTGAAGGTGTTCAGAAAACATGTGGATGTGGTACTTTGGGATATGGCTTAGTGGTCATGGTAGTATTGGGTTGATAGTTGGACTTGACGATCTCAGAGTGATAAGGGGAAACAGCATCCCATGAGAAACAACCTCCCAGGGTCGTTAGGATGTAATCAATCAGAGGCCAACAGGATGAAGCTGTTCAGAACCCATTGTAAAAGAACATAAAACAGAAACAAACCAACAAGCACACTAGTGATTAACACAGAGACAACCTGACAAGGACATTAGAGGTAAGGAAATCTGACAAGGACTATCTGGTGATGAAGACCCTTGTGAAATCCGATGACAAGTTCTTGCAAATGTACTGGGGGTGACTAGTTTTGAGACAAAGGTGAAGAGTTCATCACGAGGAAGACATATGGCCTTCATCCCTAAAGATCCCCGCCCAAGACCACCAGGAGGCACCGTGCAAGCATCAAGAGGAGGAGCTGCAGACCCCCGGAACTGAGTGCCTTTTCGGGGAAGCCCATGAACATGTACAGGCATCTAATGAATATGTAACTTTTACTGCATATAACCAAGGTAACTGCATCATTCAGGCATGCATGTTTTTCAGAGGAAAATATTCCCCTGTGCACCCAGTGCTGAATAAACATGCCTACTTTATAACCTTCTAGGTTGTAGAGTCCTTATTCTGCATGTCAGAGGTCTGTCCCAACTTAATGATTCTACAGCTCGTCAACAGAATTTCAGATAGATTTTACCTCCCTGGCCATAGAGAGGAGCCTCGTGAACATCCCCAGCTGGACAGCGTGGTGACAAGGGTGTAAGCCCCTGACCCATGCTGTAAGTGGCTCAAAATCTCACTAGTGGGGCAGGGTCATTTAATTAAGGTCAGATCAGACCCTCTTTTAGCAAAAATGCCTTTGACACAAGAAGGTGTCGAGGAGAGGCAGTGCTCCTCCTCAAATCTGAACTAAAACTGACACCTTCCTAGATGCCAGAGTGCAATGTATCACTTCCATGTACTCTCTTTTTTTAGCGAGCATTCTTTAAAAATACTTAATAAGTGGATATCTTACTGAGATAGCTTTTCTGCAATATTTTTTCTGATCCAAAGCACTGTAGTCCTCTCTGTTCTTCATGACAGAAGCTTTGTTATATATCACGGGGACTGAGAAGGTATAAAACAAATCTAGGCTGCACTTCTACCCATACAGATTAACCCATAAAAAGTTTTAAATTTTGTGTCAGTGTACTGTTTTACTGCAAAGATTCACTTCAATTCGCCCTCTGTAAATTTAACTGTGAGGTTTATACTCTTTCCTACTTAGGCTCCTAAATGAAAAATAAAGTTTGCTTGATGCAAGAGCTGCTAAAAAAGTAATTTAAGGTTCTAACCACTCTGACATTTATTTGTTATATTTGTGCAGAGCTTCACGGCTTCACATTCATTTTATGCAGAAGCCTTTAAACGCCGCAATGTAAGAAGTGAAAAATAGCCAAGCAGAGGAGTTCTCATTTTGGGCACCAGCCGGTGGGACCAGTGACTATGGTTTTAAAGCAAAGCGAGTGAGGTGCACTGGTAGCAGAAGTGACCCCTGAACCTTCTCTTCTGCCCAGAGCCAATGTTCTCCTCCTTCCCCTACTAAGACCACCCCAAGCCTCAGGAATCCCTCTCAGACACAAATGCCATCACTGCGGTTTCAGCTTCCCCAGCCATCTCTTCTCTCACTTTTCCAGTCCATTTATTATGTTCACACACCAAATCATCTTTCTCTCCTTCACTGTTCAGACTCCTTGGATTCATCCTGGCTTCACCAACGTGAAACTCATCCGCTCAAATCCACTCCCTTGTGCTTGGCCCCATAGATTCATAGAACTGTCAGGATTGGAAGGGACCTCAGAGATCATCCAGTTCCATCCCCCTGCCATGGGCAGGGACATCCCCCACTAGATCAGGCTGCCCAGAGCCCCATTCAGCCTGGCCTTAAACACTCCCAGGGATGGGGCTGCCACCCCCTCTCTGGGCAACCTGTGCCGGGGTCTCACCACCCTTATGGGGAAGAACTTCTTCCTCATGTCCAACCTGAACTGACCCATCTCCAACTTCAATCTATCCCATGCTCTGAGTGTACTTCAATACTCGGATCCCTCTTCTCTGCACTCTTCCTTCCCAATTCTTCCCCTTTGTTCCACTCAACCATCATCTAATCCTATATTTCACACACCCCTCTCCTTCAATTTTCCTCTCATTTTCCCCCACACAATGCTTCTGCGATCAGGTATGACAAATAATTTCTCTTCTGTCACTGCCTCTCATGCACGGAAATTAAAACAAAGGGTCAGGATTGGTAATTACCCGTAAAGTGAATCTCAATCCGCATGTTTAAGATAATAGGTTTGACTCTCACTGAATGCCTTCTTTTCCCAGAAGCCCTTATCTCCCCCAGGAGATGTTGAGGTTACAGACAAGACCCTGGAGAACACTGCCCCACCAGCTTGGGACTCCCATTTCCCGTGATGATACTCTTAGCCCCAAACACACAAGGGCTTGCTTATGGCAACTCACTTTTTGGATCTGTGCCAGTTACAAAGAGCTCCCAGCGTGAATGAGAACTACCCACGACGGTCTATCGGCATCTCATTGTCAAACCAAAACCGAAATGTCTGAAATCCTATCAGAACTTGCCCAGGCCTAGTGAATGAGATGTCCAGCTCCACCATCCCTGGAGCTCCTTGCAGACAGCACTGCTGCTTTGGTACCATTCTGCAGAGACTCATAGATCATTCCCTTTTCTGCAGAAAATGCATATATTTCAAGAGACCACTAACGAAGGCGCTGTACTACAGACTCTAATTTTTTTTTTTTTCCACAGGAAGCACTTTTGTATTCCAGCTGCTACTCCGAAATAAAACAAACCCTTTTATATTGGCTACCAGCTTCTATTGAAAACTGAAAGGCATTTTGTCTTGAAGCAAATAGCTGCTGTTCTGCCATTACAGTGTGCATTATTAAGCTCTATGGTGCTCACCTGTTTAAAGCAAGGGAAGCAATTATCTGTCCATAAAGCAGCTTTCAGAGCTGAAATGAAGCTGTGAAACCCTATGTCAGAAGGAAAGGGTCAGTGTACACAGCCCTCCTCCCCAGCTCCAAAACCCAAATACTCCTGTTCCCGATGCAAAACCATTACCTGAAATGAAGTTGGGGGGTTTATATTAACACGGGCTTGGTTCCAATGCTGTCCTTTATTTCCACTTGAAGACCACAACGGGTTCTCTATCGCGGTCTGACCTTTCAACCGCAGGTAAACGTTCAAGCTTCCTAGAAGAGAGGAGGAGAACTGGAATTGGTTGGGCTCTCTTGACAGAGTAGAGCTGCTGTGCTGGGAACAGCAGTGGTTCCCTGCTCACCCCTGCTTCCCATTTTCTATCTGCTAAGGTCTGAGTGGATATGGAAAGTTTCTTGTTGTCGACTCAAAAACTTCTAATTCTGGGAACACCACCAGCTGGGGACGGGAATTCACAGCAGGGCAGTCACACCCATTGCTCCCTGCAGCTCAGGGAGGACATGAGGCTTCGCAAGGTGAGATGGGCCAAAAGGAATTTTCTGTGCTTTACCATAAGTGAGGCATTTATAACCTCCTTATCTGAGGATAAATAAGCATTTTGGTTGCTTTATGCTCAGCTCTTGCTTATAAAGACCGTCCAACTTCTTGTTTACTCCACGCATTGCTTAACTAATGGAATGCTCCAGAGCCTTGCAAATCTACCTGAGAGGTAGACATGATGCCCTTACTCCTGGCTAAGGAGTATTTTGGAAGGACAACATAATCCTCTGAGTTAAAATAACTGCAGTAAAGTCCCTGACTGTGGAGAAAAACCCCACAAACCCAGGTCTTTCCCCACTGCTGACCATTAAGTTACTGGTCCCAGTACAGACTTCGTTTGCAACAGTCAACACATTGTCTGCATTCAGCAGCCCTTCATTCTCGTTAACCTCCCTGTCTCAGGCCTTGAACAGAAACCAGACTGTCCTGGCACATCAAGGGACAGCAAATGCATCGACTTCATTTCTCAGGGTTCAGCATTTCACATAGTTTGGAGATTTTGTTCCTTCTTGCTCACTGCTGTTCTCTGCAGGTGTGTGGGGCATTTGCTATGTAAATCATTGCATTTGCCTTCATTCGAGAAAGTTCAGGCAGTCAAGTTCACACAAGACTACTGTCTTTTGAGGGTGCTAGGCATGGCAGCTGGGAAGCTCATACAAATTATATTTGCAATGAAACCTCTCAGATCTGAGGCAGCTGCACAGTGACTCAACTCCTGCTAATAAAAAGTTCTTATTTGTCGCAATAGCAAGACTCGGTGCCTTGGAAAACATAAGGCTAGACGTGTAATGGAACAGCAAATATTTTCATCACGGCTCTTTCACCAGGGCGCCCAGAATGAGGCCATACATCTTCTTTGAAGGAGGTGGGGGAAGCGCTGCTCGCTGGAGCGGCCAGGTGGCACCGAGTCTCCCACCGCAGCATCTCAGTTCTCAAGCGCAGGGGAGGGTGCAGAAGCAGCACAAAGAAAACGTGGCTTCCAGCGAGGAAATTCTGCCTCTGCCTACACATGTGCTACTGGGCAAAACAGAGCGACCTCAAACAGAAAGGGCTTGCAAGGAGAGAAACGTTCTGGAGGGTTCCCAGGAGCAGCCTAGCCTGGGGATATGTCACAGCGAGCGGGTGCCCAGCCTCAGCTCTCTCCCAAACAGCAACAGCAGCTCTTGAGAAAGGTTTCTGTTCTTCAGCTACAAGGGCTCTCCCTTCCTTCCTTTCTGCTTTTCTCCAAGATCTTTTTTCCAACAGATGTGCTGGGTCTGCGGTCTGAAAAAAGGCGAGGTCTTAGACAAAGGCTAACTTAAGTTATACAATGGAGTTATACGTAATGTTATTTTTCTAAAAGAGAAAAAGTGATGGCTGTAGCTTACAAATTGCTGGGTAATTGTTGCACCTGTTTGTGCAGGCTCATACAGCCCATGGCACAGGGCTGTTTGGAATAACCGAGTAATTTAGGTATGAAAAGCATGTAATTCCCTCACTGCTGAGGTTACAGAGATTTGAGATTGTTCATGGCATACTCAGCTTCTCCATGTCACATAATTTCGTCAAATTAATAGTAGAAAGATAGCAGTCTTTTTTAAAGTACAAACCAGCCATCACTGTCACAGATACCAAGCTGGGGCTCTGAGCAACCTGATCTAGTAAAAGATGTCCCTTGTTGGACTAGATGACCTTTAAAGGTCCCTTCCAACCCAACTCAATCTATGATTCTATGGTTCCATATGCTCAGTCGTAGCCCAGCACATTGGTCAGTATGGAGGTACCTGCTAGAATTGCACATACACGTGCCCGAAAAGCCACTGAAAACTTAACTAATGACAGCTCCAAGAGATGCTAACCCTAGAAATTCTGCCAGTAAAGTTTTGGAAAAGTTACACAGCCTCCACAAAGCTGACACTGGAGGAAAGGACGGGTTGGCTGTAGGATTTGCATAGAGGTGCGTCCAGCAAGAATTCGCCTAAAGATTTCAAACTATTCCAACCTCTAGATAAAAGGGTAAAGAAGCGACGCATGAGCAGGAGACAAAAACAGCAGGCAGGAGTAAGAACTGCAAATTAAGGCACCAAGTTTAGTTTCTGAGGGAAGCGTCGGCAGCTGCGTCGCTGGGTGGCACCGGGAACGCTCGTCACCGACAGCTCTCACCAGGGGCTCAGGCAGCACGTCCTGCTCTGCTCTGTGATGATTCTCTAATGACAAGAAAAATTACTGTTCAATTAGAAATGCCCCACTTTGGGAGTGTAGATGGAAGAACTGGAACTCTAGATTGTTTCAAAAGACAGCGACAGCTATAATGGAACTGCAACCTCTTCTTGGCTCAACGTAGAGGCACAATACGGACAGTGACTCTTCTTTTTCCTCTTCCCCAACAACGGCTTATTGTTTGCTGTAAATCAAGTAATGGGAACTTCCACTTCTGTTCCGCTTTAGGGATAATCTACCTTCTCCTTTCGAAAGGTGTGGAGCAAAACACATGCAGTTCCTCTGGCAGTAGAGTTAGCTCTGTGTGGTCTGTCAGGAATTACAATCTGACTTTTAAGTAAGAGCCATCTATTTCAGGTACAGAAACACTTTATCTTTCTGAATCTAACTGCCACAACACGGGATGTAGGTCCTTGTTTATCTCGTCAGAGCTGTGCTGTAGCATTAAGTGCTAATCTCAACCCTGTGCTTGGCTCTCTGCAAAGACTCCCAAGTACCTCTCCTTATCCCTGCAGGAATTTTCAGCCTCTTCTCCAGAGACACCAAAGACCTGAACAGCAGGCACAGCAGCTGAGCTGGATAAACTGGTAGGCTGTTGTGTTGTTTTTGTTTTCTTCAGTATACTGCAAGAGGCATATTCTCAAATTGATGTCACTGGGGTCACTCGATTTTAAGAATGGAGCATGAAGTCACTTTTTCCCTAAGCCTCCAAGCCTGGTGCACGCCAGCAGCAGGGCAGCATTCCAGCATGACATTCCGTTTTCTTAGGGATCCTTCAAAACCTTGCCTGAAATGGAGAAACACTTTGAGGAACACTGAAACTGAAAGTACTATGCCCCTGAGAAATGGGAATAATAACCCTAATACTGCTTGGAAATCTTACGGATACGGATAGCCTGGGAGAATAAAACCATCCAGTGGAAATGCATCAAATTCCCCTAAGCAATGCTAGAGCACTTTGGATGAAAACCCAAAGGTTGGTGGCCCTGGGTCTTCTCTAAATACCTTGTCACCAGGTCTCAGGGAGAAAAAAGGGAGAAAAAAGAAAAAAGGCCAAATTCCTCTGACAGAAACTTCCAGTTTTCTATTAACTCAGGTCAAGAATCAGCAGCTCACGGTTATTCAACAGAGAGATCCTACAGCACAGAGATCCTACACAAAGTCTCAGTTAGCAGCTCCTGTCCTGCTGTTGTGAAGAAATCCAAGAGCTGTCAGGGCGCGCAAGAGCCGATTGCTGCCACGGCTGGCAATGCCCATTCCTGAACGGGGAAAGAAATACCTTCCATATGTCAGCTGCAAATTCCAGAACAAGCAATGAAGGGTCAAGTCTTCTGATGAAAATCAAATCTCTTTTAGCAATAAGATCTAGAATTATCCATGGGGGATTAATCCTTAATAAAATGTAGTAATTCCCCCAAAAAATAAATATTACCAATTACCTGTTTCCCACAGAGGCTTTGAGGCACCTCGGGAGACTGTCCCATTCAAACTGCTGCTCAGAGCATGGCAGATTAGAGCAGGATGCCCAGGACCATGTGCAATTGAATTTCGGATATCACCAAGGACAGAGACTCTACAAACTCTCTGGGCAGCCTGTGACAGTGTTTGACTGCCTTCACAGTTAGCATTTTCTTTTTGTTCCTAGGTTTAAATAGAACTTCTATTTCAATTTGTGCCTATTGCCTCTTGTTTTGTTCCTGAGCATCTCTGAGCACCATCTTCTTTCTCCCTCCACGTATTCTATGTACTGGTGAAATTCTCTGGAGCTTTCCTCTCTCCAGGCTGAGCAACCTAACAATTGTATGATTCTATGACGTTTGATTCATCTGCACTAATCATTGTGTTATAATAAACCCTTTCCTAACCCAAACTAATTTCTAAGACCACAACCTTTAAAAACCCATTCATTACCTCGTTAGTATGATTATTCCCACAATAATTGTGTGCTTAAATCATTAAAGTCTTAGAATTTCATCACTCCTTAGGTGTTTTTTTTCTCCTCATTATCCTCATGGGAACAATTTCAGCGACAGAGTTCACATCTGGGGAATCAAATTATACATTTCCAAAATGATGGTAACTGTATTTTTTAACATGAAGAAGCAAGAGCAACTTTGGGTTTCGACGACTAGGTGTCCACATTGCCGTGGACAAATCCTGTGTAAATACGACCATTAGTCTTCATCATCTTCAGCTCTGGGTCATCTCCTTCACCTTCAACTTTAAGGCATTCCAGAAAAAAACCTCTTTGACCCTGTACATTTGTAACTTTGCTCTTCACTGTCACATACCAGGAATTACTGTCATATACCAGAAATATTTTTTTTAACCAAGCGCACCAAGGCGTGGTCAATTCCTCCCAATAAAGAGTCAAGCTCCTGCTGCAACACAGAGCCAGGAGAATTTATTTACACCTAGGGCTGGATTCACGTGCTCACGGTGCAAAGACAGCTAACAGAAAAGCAAGTGGACTTGTCTGCTCTATTTAAAACCTGAATTCTGCCCGGGGGCAGGC